GGTTGGATGGCTGTGGGAGGTTGGCTATGGGAAGGGCACTGACCACCATGGGGCAGTTCCTGCATTGAGCGTCTGCCCCTGGTGGTCAGTGTGCATCATAGCGACAGGTCGACTGGTCGTAAAGGTTGCTTAGACTTTTATATATACAGATATATTGCAATCAACTTTCCATCTCTAAGAATTCTATTATGCTCATTTTAATAGTTTTATAATACCTAACTATAAGAAATAGTTGATGAAATTAAGGTACAGGCATATAATAGGATATTATACAGCCATTAAATATTATATTTATAAATATTTTAATGATGTGGTTAAATGCTTGATAAGTAAGGTACTGAAATATAAAGTGTGATTTCAACTATACACAAAAATTACAAAAAAAGAACAGAATAAACAGTGGTTTGTCTCTGTGTCCTAGAATTATAGGTGGTAGTTATTTTCTTCTAATATTATTTTTATGTTGTCCAAATCTCTAAGAATGTTATTTCTTTTATAATTAAAAAATTCTATTAAAATACAGATAAAATGTGACCTCAACTGGGCATTCACAAATTAGGATTTGGTTCAAAGGAAAGTTTGGCTAATAGTAAATAAATTGTTCGATATAACAATTTACTGAAAACTCTCAAAGACATTATAATTTCTGAATATGGCATATTAAAGCTTTACCTATGAAGAAGAGTATATACTATAGCCTCAGATAGTTTTTAAACAGCAAAACCTTTTCTTTGAACAAAATAATTCACAGATGCCCCATTTATAAAACAATAAGAAGAGATGTGTCCCAGCTGGAATGAGGACACAGGACATTAGCAGTCCTTCAGGAATTGCCATGTGGTCCCTCCGGTTTCTCCTGGCACAGATGGAGACAGAGCTGGGCGCCAGCCCCAGGTCTGCCATGGGGCCCACCATCTGTATTTCAAAACAAGTTCCCAGGTGAGACGAATACTGCTGGTCCAGGGACCACACCGTGAGATCACTGGTCTAAGGTAGTGGTTCTCAGGCGAGTTGCACTTCACAATTACCGGGCAGTTTTTAAAAAGTATCAGTGTCAGGATCCAAACTCTTAGATATTGTGATTTAATTGGTTTGGGGAGGGGCCCAACATTGCTTTGGGTTTTTGGGTTGTTTTTTCCCTGATTCCCCAGTGATTCTAAAGGGCATCCAGAGTTAAGAACATTATTCACAGAAGTGAACAAAACAGACAAAGTCCTTGGCCTTCATGGGAGCTTAACTTAAAGAGTAAGTTAAAAACAGATGATGGTGCATCCTCAAATATCATTAAGACCTAATAACCAAATAACCATTAAAAATGGTGACAGAGAACAGTGTATGTTGACACAGAAGGAAATGCTTAACACCCCATTTATACAAAAATATACATATGTAATTATATGATCATAAAAAGTCCAGAAAGATAAACAGACTCTCTCTCTGGAAATGATGGAATTGAGAGAGGATTCTTATTTCTTCCTTTGCCTCCTCTAATACGCTGTGAACATCTAAACTATTAATGTATTACTTTGTAATAAGCAAACCCATTAAAGAAATAAAATGATTGGGAACACTCAGATCTGAGACCTAGAAGATCTGAAAGGGTAAAAATGAATCTTTAAATATATTTTTGGGGAAAAGGTAGAAGATATGTTTGGTATTGTAGAAAATGCATGAGTTTTCAATTTTTAAAGATCACAAATCTTTGAACTTTGGTTTTTACCTATAAAATAAAGGAAACCATGCATAAGGGTGATTAGGAATAATGTCTGAAATGACCTAATTCAGAGCCTGTCCTGTAATAGGTGCTAATTGGAAGCTATTCTCATTTCTTTATATATTTTTCAACAATTCCCTAACTTGGCTATACATCAGAAGCATCTGGGGAACTTATTAAAATCACAGTTTCTCCTAGGAATTCCCCCTCCTCAATCCCAAGTGTTATTTAGTAAGAACACCCGAGGAATCTGTATGCTTTCAAAGCTTTCCCAGGTATATGATGCGGCAGCTCAGCACTGGTCCATGAGCCACACTGCTCAGGAGCCAGTGCTACAATGTGGTCCCAGTGGAGAAAATATTACTAGAATAATAAGTAATACTCATATAGCTATAAGTAGCCTAACAACCCTATAAGACAGTCTCCCACATGATTCCCATTTTATCTACGAGTATACTGAGGAACATGGCGGTTAGGGATCTTAAACCCCCACGGCTAGTAAAAGGCAAAGCAGATTCAAACTGCTGCTCTCCTCACTGGCCTCTGGGAAATACAGGCATGGCCATTGCCTAAAGCGGAAGGCAACTAAGAAACCCACCACAAGGAAGAGAAACAAAAATAAAAATAAAGCCACCAAACTAAAGACGTGCATTTGAATCTCATAAAACAGAAAAAGGTCATATACACCTGCTTCATTCATTAAGCAGCCTTCCCTGTTAATCTACTTACCGTCTGAAGAAAGGCAGGAAATGCCTTCACAGGAACACTTTTGTGGAGGGACCTAGCCTAAGAAGGAAGACAAAAGGAAACTGGTTTGAAATATAAATATTTCTGGAAATAAACACTCTCTCTCAGAAAGTGAACACAAAGCAACTGGTCATTTAACAATACAGCTAGGGCCTCTCCCAAAAGCAAGAAAACAGCTCTCACCCCTGCAGATTACAATTAATTTCTTAAGCTTAAAGGACTCAGGAAAAAGAACTATATTAAGAATTCCATTCTCCCTTACCAGTTGACTTTGGCATTTTCCAGCTGCCTTATAACATCTTGTAACTTTGACCCTCCAGCTCTGTGGTTGGGGGTAAATGAAGAAAGACTTGTGTTCACAAGTCCCAGCACCTCCCAGCTTAGTCGGTCATTATCTCCTGTTTAGATGAATAGAAGATCCTCCTAGCTGATCGTTCTGCCTGTGTTTCCAACCTTTAAATCATTCCACACAGCCAGCCAAGTTAATGTTCCTAAGTCACTGTTTTATGTTTATTTTCTTTAACATATGTCCCTCATTGAGCAAGTCTCAACTATGCATCTTGGGATTCAGAGGCCTCCACACCTTGACTAACCTCATCTAACTCACAGCCCTACTTCTCTGGACTAGGAATCCACGAAGCTCTCAGGCTGATGCCCACCTGCTCTCAGCAAGCCCACCCGTTTCTAGGCCTTCATGTACACTGTCAGATACCACCTCTGCTTCCTGACTCACATCTTCACCCTTCCCCTCTGTTTCACCAGTCTACTAAAATTGCTCTCTTCAAAATCATCCACACCCTACTATTCGCCCTACCTCTTTTCTCTTCATCTCCCGGTAGCATGCAGTTTTATCACTCCCCCTTCTTGGAATTTGTTCCTCCCTTGGTTTCTAACACACTGACTCTGTTTTCCTACTTCTTTGATCATTCTTTCCTTCTTCTTCCTAAGAAATGGCCCTTTCTCCTTCCACCTGAGGAATGGAGGTGGGCACTAGGCCCTCTTATCCAGATGTACATTCTCCTTGGGCAATGACATCCAAACTCAGAGCCTTAACCATTTCTTTCCATGTGGATGGCTCCCAAATCTCTCTCTCCAGTTCTCATCTCCTTTCAAAGTCACAATCCTGCATTCTTTAACAGCCCATCTCCCTAAATGTCTTCTAATCTCCTTCTATTCAATGATGTCCAGCAGCTAGTCTGTCTACTGATCCTAGTGTGCCACTGCTCTTTTACTACTATAGTCTTTGAATGGCCCCATCACCATCTCTACTTGAACTCTGTGCAGCCTTCAACTTCCCCTCTTCCTGATCCTGCCACAATCCAATCAGTTATCAAGTCTAGTTGATTCTAGCTCTGGGTTGTGTGCGTGTGTGTGTGTGTGTGTGTGTGTGTACATACATAAACATCCACCTTCTCTAAATCAGACACTCTTAAATGTGGCAAAAGGAGATTATTCACTAGTGATTATTATTAGAGCAGCAGGATGAAAGCCAAATTACAGCATGAAGTGTCAGGGCGGTGAGGGCCTTGAGGTAACAATGAATGCAGACCACTTATTCAAAAAAGGTTAATTGTGAGGGAAAAATAAGAAACAGGAGGGTCCACAGGATGCCGATAACTTCAGAAGGCAGCAGCAACAAACCAGAAGATAAGAGAGACAAGTTATCGGAGAGGCCAACTGAAAACCCCAGCTGGGACCCTGAGCATGCAAGGTCCTGGGAAGGGGGGAGAGGCATCAGCCCTGCAAGGCAGAAAGACACGCCGCCCGAGAGACAGAAATGGTGAGTGATGATCAGAGTGGGACCTAACTGAGGAAGCCCAGTAAATGGGGCACACATTTGCTGAAAGGGAGAAAGCGGTATTTTTTAAAAGTGGAAAAAGTTTACAATAGTCCCTGAGATAAATCCACTGGGATTTCAAGGAAAGTTGGAATACAGTCTGCCAAGTAGGGAACAGTATGATCTAGGAACAGCCACACCTAGAAAGGATAGTTTCCTAAATGATTTGGGGGGGGGGAAGGGGAAGGCAACTTACATGCTTCAAGTGCAAGTGGGCCTGGCTGGCAATGTCATATATCACATCTCTCACATTTTTATCTTGGTTCTTCCGTAGAAAATCCTCTTGTGAAACACCATGCTGTGTTGAAAAATATTATATTAGCAATTAAAAAGCATACTTAAAACTAACTTAGCTCAAGAAAACAGGTGAGAGAACAGTAAGTACAATATAATGTCTATTTTGTTTTTAAAAATATATGGATGTGTACATATATGTGTATGTGTGGCTGTGTATATATACACAGGCGCGCTCTCTCTCCTCTCTCTCTCTCTCTCTCTCTCTCGGAAGAATATGCAACAGGATGATAATTAACAACAGTTGTAGTAGTAGAACAAAAATACACAAGCAAGAGCCCTAGCTGGTTTTGCTCAGTGGATAGAGCGTTAGTCCTGGGTTCGATTCCGGTCAAGGGCACAAGTCCAAGTAGCAGGCTTGATCCCCAGTAGGGGGCGTGCATGAGACGGCCGATCAATGATTCTCATCATTGATGTTTCTACCTCTCTCTCCCTCTCCCTTCCTCTCTGAAATCAATAAAAATATATCTTAAAAAAATACACAAGAAAACAAACATATAAGACGTTTTAAAAGCACAGACAATAATGATTCTCATACAGAAAATAAAAGTTCTCATAAACAATATTCTTGTCTTAAGGATGATTTCCTCCTCTAAAATAAAGAACAGGCTGGTCCTGGCCAGGTAGCTCAGTTGGTTGGAGCCTCATCCCAATACGCCAAGGTTGCGGGTTTGATCCCCAGTCAGGGCACATACCTGAATCAACCAATGAATGCATAAGTAAGTGGAACAACAAACCAATGTTTCTCTTTCTCTCTCTCTTCTCTCCTCAATTAAAAAATAAAATAAAATAAAATAAAATAGAACAGGCTAAGCTAACAGTAGGAATAATTACTGTCATTGCTTGGAAGGGAGTAAGCATCCACATGAAGCTACACCAAGTGAGGTTCTCCGGATTTCCTTACTCATAGCTCCACCAGAGACCGAAAATGCCTGACTGACAAAAATTCTCACTTGATAACCAAGGAGCCGAAAAGAAATATGCATTCATTTCAAAGCAGTTACTTGAATAGACTAAGCAAAGAGCCAAGAAATAACATCCCTCCCATCTTCCTGAGGTAAATACAAGTAACAGCCTTACCAGCATACAAATGTCCATGGGAAGGAACACCCTTCTTCTGCTAGTGTGATACGGCGTGGCTCTCAAGCAAGTGACAATGCCGTGCGCCTTTCCAATGTGACTTGCAGCATGATCTGCATGAAGGTCCTTTACACCTGTGGTTTTGAAAGTAATCACAGGACTGCTCTTTAAATGCATAAGTCAACAGAAGTACAAAGAGAAATCACCTACACATGTAAAACTAATTGTTTATCCTAATGCATTCACACCTGAAAAACAGGATCTATGAGTAAAATGGGCACAAAAACAAGCTGACTACTAAGCAGGTTTCTGAACTTGAACTTTTAAATAAGTTTTCCTCAGACTACATCACACTAAAAACACATTTGGAATTGTAATCAGCTATCATGGAAAAACAACACGAGTGTTTCATTTCTTCTCAGTGCAACGTCCATACGACCTCACTTTAAGTATATTCTGCTCTTTGCTCCCTCCTTTGTGTTGGCAAACATGTCACCAAATGTGCAGGCAGAACAGGCCTGGGAAATTCAATATGCATAGGATAAAATAACATTTATTCCTTTAGGGTGACATAAAAATATATTACCGTCTCCAAATGGATGTTACTGTCCTTGTGCCAAGTAATTTCCTCATTACAATCCTCATTACTATAAGACATTCCCAGCTTAGAGGCTTAAAAAATCATCAGCCCTGGCCTGTTTGGCTCAGAGGTTGGAACGTCGGCCTGCGACTGAAAGATCTCGGGTTCGATTCCCGGTTGGGGCGTGTGCGGGAGGCAACCAATCGATGTGCCTCTCTCACATCGATGTTTTTTTTTTCTCTCTCTCTGTCACTCCCCTTCCTTTCCACTCTCTCTAAAAAAATCAATGGAAAAAATATTTTCGGGTGAGGATTAACTAACATAAAAAAATAAACATCAGCAATTACCAGATTATTAACTATGACATTCCCATGAAGTAGCTAAAGTATTTTTTTAAATATATTTTTATTGATTTCAGAGAGGAAGAGAGATAGAAACATTAATGATGAGAGAGAATCACCTATTGGCTGCCTCCTGCACACCCCCCACTGGGGACCGAGCCCACAACCTGGGCATGTGCCTTTGACCGGAATCAAATCCAGGACCCTTTAGTCCGCAGGCTGATACTCTATCCACTGAGCCAAACCAGCCACAGCTAAAGTATTTTTATTAGATTAGTCTGCACTCCAAAGACAAACATATATTCCTCTTCTTGCTCAAAAAAAAAAAAAATATATATATATATAGCTGTTCCTTTACAAATGATGCAAAGAAAAACTTCAGTGTTAAAGTGGTTAGATTGTCAAATTATGAAAGAATGAAGTCTGAAACGTGTTTTATTCAGAAAAAGAGAAGTATGAAATTAAAAAAAACACAACTTACCCAATATTTCTAGTGTTAAATAAAGAAGAGAACTCTGTGTGTTTTCGGCATAATTTTCCAGTTCCTGGATATTACGATATGCTTTGTCATCCAAATTTTTTTCCTATAATCAAACAAAAGGCAAATCAAGTTTGCTGAATTATCAAAATTTATAAAGACACGATTTTTTGCCCAAAAGAACTGAATAATAAAAACATTAAGTATATACTGTTTATACAAAGTAAAAGAAGATTAAAATAAAATTAAGATATGAAAGTTCTACACAATCTTACAAATCTCCCCTCAAAATAAATACCTCAGGATTAATCTCAATGCACAAATCACCATGAACATAGGTTGGCTTAATTTTTAATTCCTTCGAAAGAATATCACAAAAACTGACTTTACTGAGCTCTTACTTCAGCACTAACCATTATCTTTTTAATCTTAGCATCCCCCCAAAGATAACAAAATAATACTTCTCCCATTTTGCAGATGAAGAAACTGAGTCCCGGACACATGAAGTAATATTCCTAAGGTCACATTCTATATAATAAAACCCTAATATGCAAATCGACAACACGGTGGAATGACCGGTCGCTCTGATGCACACTGACCAGCAGGGGGCAGATGCTCAACACAGGAGCTGCCCCCTGGTGGTCAGCACACTCCCACAAGGGGAGCACCACTCAGCCAGAAGCTGAGCTCGCTGTTCCTTAGTGCTGCCGTGGAGGCAGGAGAGGCTCCCGCCACTGCCACTGTGCTCGCCAGCTATGAGCACGGAGCGGGCCTAAGCTGGCAGGTGGACATCCCCTGAGAGGTCCCGGACTGCGAGAGGGCGCAGGACGGGCTGAGGAACCCTCCCCAGTGCACGGGCCTCTAGTAGCTAATAAATGGTAGAGATAGGATTCAAACCACACATTTTGACTGTCAAGCCCATGCTCTCAATAAGGAAAAGGTGCCTAGGAAAAGAAAGGACTTCCCATTTATTTGCTGCTATAGTCTTTACAATGATATGAGCAGTTATATGCACAGGATAAAATAACATTGGACCACTGTCAATTGAGATGGAGTAACTATTTCATCTCTTCTGCATGCATAGTTTAGACAAATGTAAAAAAAAAAGTAAAAGAAAAAGAAAGGAGACTCATAACCCAGTCTCTCCACCTCCCCCCCCCCCAAATTTTCTATAATAATAAGAGTGTAATATGTTAATTAGACCGAACAACCTTCTGGACAACCACGCTATGACATCCACTGGCGCCAGGCCAACCAAGGCGGGCGCGATGCGATTGGTCGGGGGCTCGGCCATTGCCCCATGATCGCCCCGCAGAGGGAGGCCCAGGCCACCAGCCAGTGGGGCAATCAATCAGGGGGGTTCCACGATCACCCCGCAGAGGGAGCCCAGGCCACTGACCAGCAGGCTGTGGTGGGTGGGCGGGGCCTCCCTCTGTGAAGGAAGCCTGGGTCCCGGGTGCCAGAGGGACCCGGTGCCAGCAGCTGGGGAAGGAAGGCCTACTCTTGCACAAATTTCGTGCACTGGGCCTTTAGTGGTCAATAAAGTAACAGGATTGATTAACTGAGCACAACTCTATTCACTCTATTCAAGAAACAAAAAAATGTAAATCCTAGTAAAAGCTAGCCACTTTTATAATAATACATTAACAAAGACTGTTTTCAAGGTGATACACTCTTCCTCTTTTTAATCAGAAAAAATTGACACCAGCAATGATTCAAGGGGAAAAGAAATATGTCCAAATCTTTTATATTTTAAAAAATGACATAACTCATATACCATAAAATTTATCTTTTTAAAATATATTAGGTCAGTGGTTTTTAGTATATTTACCAAGTTACGCAACTATCACCACTACCTAATTGGGTTTTTTGGGGTTTTTTTTGTAATCCTCACCTGAGGATATTTTTCCACTTATTTTTACAGAGAGACAGAGAGAGACACATCGACTGGTTGTTCCCTGCACAGGCCCCAACCAGGACTGGGGACTGAGCCTGCAACCAAGGTACGTGCCCTTGACTAAAATTGAACCTGGGACCCTTCAGTCTGTGGGCCGAGGTTCTATCCACTGAGCCAAACCAGCTACGGTGAATCCCGGAATGTTTTCATCACCAAAAAGAAATCCATATCCAGGAAGCAGTCACTTCCCATTTCCCTTCCCCTCATCTCCTGACAAGCCACAAATCTACCTTCTGTTCCCATGGATTTGTCTGTTCTGGACATTTTATAAAAACACAATAATACAATATGTGGCTTTTTGTATCTGGCTTCTTTTAATTAGCAGGTTACTACGGTTCATACAAGTCTAAGCTTCTATCAGTACTTCATTCATTTTAATTGAAGAAATTATAAACAATATTCCATTGTATGGATATGCCATATTTGGTTTATTCAATCATTGATAGACTATGAGTTGTTCCCATTTTTGGACTATGCTGCTATAAACATTGTATACAAGTTTTGTGTGGACATATATTCTCATTTCTCTTGGTATATAACCTAGGAGTAAAATGCTGGGTCTATAGTAAACTCTGTTTAATTTTTGAAAAACTGTTTTTCCAAAGCAGCTGTACCATTTTACATTCCATGAGGAATGTATGAAGGATTCCAATTTCTCCACATTCTCACCAATATCTTTTTTATTATCATCTACATAATCTACATATGAAGCAGTATCTCATTGTGTTTTTTATTTACGTTTCCCTAATGAAAACATACTGAACATATCTTCAGGTGCTTATTGGTCATTGGTATATCTTCTTAAAGAATGTTTACTCAGATCCTTTGCCTATTTTTAAATTGGATTATCTGTCTTTTTTAGTGTTTAGCTCTAAGAATTCTTTACATATTCTAGATACTAGTCTCTTATCAAATATATAACTGGCAAATACTTTTTCCCATTCTATGAACTGTCTTTTAACTTCCTTAAATTTTTTAATTTTGATAAAGTCCAATTACCAGGTATATATTTTATTTCTTGTGCTTTTATCATCACATCTAAGAAATCACTGCCCATCCTAAAGTCACAAAAACTTATGCCTATGTTTTCTCCTAAGAGTTTTACAATTGTCTTACATTTAGGTTTTTGATCCATTTTGAGTAAGTTTTTGTATACGGTGTGAGGTAGGAGTCCAAATTCATTCTTTTGCATGTGGCTATCCAGTTGTCCCAACAACATTTGTTGAAACAAATATTTTCCCCACTGAATTATCTTCACACTCTTGTCAAAAATCAACTGACTATAAATATATGGGTTTATTATTGGACTCTCAATTCTATTCTATTGATCTATATGTCTATTCTATATCAATACCACAGTTTGATTCCTATAACTTTGTAGTTAAGTTTCGAAATCAAGAAATATGAGTCCTCGAACTTTGTTCTCCTTTTTCAACATTGTTTTGGTGATTCTGGGTCCCTTGCATTTGCATAAGAATTTTAGGATCAGCTTGTCAATTTCTGTAAAAAAGGCAGCTGGAATTTTTATTGACTCTATGAGGGGAGATTGAGCACAGTCCTTTACTTTTAAATATTTCTCCCTATAAATGCTAAGTGTTATTATTCCATTAAACAGGAAAGCTATCTCTGTCTTAAGTTCTCCAATTTTCTTAATGTCATAAAACCAGGACATCTGAAAAAATGATTTTCTTAGTGCTAATTAACTCTATAGGTCAACTGAGCAATTTTTCTTAATGTTGAAGCCACCATCTCATTTTGGCTTATATTATTACTACATGCCTGATGCACTAATTCATGCACAGGTGGGGTCCCTCTGGGTGGCCTTTAGGGATTGGGCCAAAACCCGCAATCCAACGCCGCCTGCAGCTCCTACTTGCCGCTCCCACTTATGCCAGCCCCACTGTGCCTGCCGCAGGCTTGTGCCCAATCAGTCCCCATAGGGAGAGGCTCGCAGCACTCGCCAGCCATAAGCCCTGCGTCTGGCGCCCTCCCAAGGAGAGTGGCCTGCAGATCGGGCTGAAACTGGCTCTCCAACACTCCCTGAGGGGTCTCAGATTGCAAGGGGGTGCAGGCCAGGCTAAGGGGCCCTACCAGTGCATGAACGGGCCGGGGAGGGATAGCAGGAGGGCTCCAGGGCATGTCTGGCCCATCTCGCTTAGTCCCAATCGGCTGGACCCCAGCAGTAAGCTAACCTACCAGTTGGAGCATCTGCCCCTTGGTGGTCAGTGCACATCATAGCAACTGGTCGACCAGTCAACTGTCTGCTCCCTGGTGGTCAGTGCGCGTCATAGCGACTGGTCAAGCAGCTGACTGTCTGCCACTTGGTGGTCAGTTCATGTCATAGTGAGCGGTTGAGCAGCCTTAGCATATCATCAGCATATTTCGCTTTGATTGGTTGTTCAGTTGTTCTGCTGTTCGGTCTATTTGCATATTACCCTTTTATTATATAGGATTACTATAGCTATGGTTATTCATAGATTATATTCACATAAAGTTAAGTAGACTTGCACTTTCATGGCAACAATACATTATAAACATCAGGCCAGTGAGGACACTGAGCCAACAATGTATCAGAAAGATTGTACAGGTTAGCCCAGGTCACTGAGCAATTTGTGGGAACTAGAATAGAACTCAGTTCTAAGAACTTAGCTTAGGATTCCATTCACTAGAACCATCAAACTTTCCTTATTCCCTCTACTCTTTGGACAGAGATCCAAGTACTGGGTTGACTACTCAAATTTTGATGAAAAATTAGTTTAAAGATTAAAAAGGAAGAAAAATTTAAGACTTGAGCAATTTCAACTTACTCTTTCATCAATGATTTTCATAAGCCATCTTTTAGTCAGATTATGTCTTTTGACAGCCTAAAAAAAAGAAGAGTTTTATAAATTTTTAGAAAGCACTAGAAATGACTTCTGCAGACATGAATAAAAATAAACAAACCAAATACAAAACTAGGAAAGGGAATATTTGTAATAACTCACCACCAAATAAATAGCTGTGTTAAAGCAATACCAGGAAAAAAGAAAATGTCCCTAGAAAATATTTCCAAGTAAAGATAATATATCTAAAACTTTTCCAATAGTCTGTATTTTTTATTATACTATTAGTAGTTTAATGATTCCACTTTCAAACAAACACAAGAATTAAATACCCAAGATTCTGTTATTGATGCACCCTGATGTCTATGCCTGCTTATTACATGCAAACTTCTTTCCATAGGATGAAGATTCTAATGAATAAAAATAACCACTTATCCAAAAGGAAAAGAGTAACTAAAACTCCAAAGGGAATAATCTGCAAAGCACAGTATTACTTTAGCAGGTAAAGACACTCTAGTAGAAAAGACCACACCTGTGCCCACATCTCAGTCTCTAAAAGCATTTCTCCCAAAGAAACAGGGATCCAAAGAAATGAGCAATTTCCAGAGTTGGGCAAGGGAGAGTTAATATAATCCCAGGGATCCAAAGAAATGAGCAATTTCCAGAGTTGGGCAAGGGAGAGTTAATATGATCCCTAGAGTATCTTATTGTTCCAGAAAATGGAAAATGCTCAAAAAAATTATGGGAGGCAGTTTGAAAGGGTTTCCCACTGTCCAAATCTGGGACTATTTGAACACCAAAATAATTAAGTTTAGTAATGAACTATAAACTACTGGAAAAAAATAGAATTTCATGAGTTTATAACAATAATTAATAGACAAATAAATAAATATAGGAGAGTGAGAGATCTTGGTTACTGCCAACTGGTAAATGTGCTCGGAGTATTAGAATTGAAAAATGGCATTTTGCAATCATAATAGTAAAGACTGAATCAGACAAGAGCCATCAATGAATGCTATGTTTCAGGGGAAATTAATGAGGAATAGAATATTTGCATTGTCTTATAGTTGCCAGGAGAATTATAATTATACAGTGGGAAAACCAGGCAACATCTTGACTGGATGATGAACATTAACAATGCCAATAAGGTACAGATGTACAAAATATGCCTTCAGATATGACACCCTAAGAAGACGACATCGTCTATGCAGTATTATGGCCAAGAATGCACAACCTGAGAAAACATCAGATGAATCCAAAATGAGTAATGTTCTATTAAAAAAAGTGGAGGGGCTATCCTCTTTGAAAAGGTAATGTCATAGAAAAGAAAGGAAGGCTGTGGAAATGTTCCAGATTAAAATAGGCTTAAGAGATAAGACAAATATTACCTGACCTTAGACTGAATCCTATACTGGAGGGAAAAAACACTACAGTGGACATTATTGGGTCAACTAACAAAACTGGAATATAAATGGAAAATTAGATAAAAAGTGTTATATCAAAGTTAAATTTACCATTCTTAACTGTTTTGGTTATATAATAGAATGTCCCTATTCTTAGGAAATACTCACTAAAGCATTTAAGGATAAAGGGCCACGATGTATATAACTTACACTAAAAAATGATTCAGAAAAAAAACAGAGCGAGAGAACAAGCTCATGCACCCATGTGAGTGAGCAGTACAAATGATTAACAAATGGGATAAAATGTTTTATTTTTAAAAATATATATATTTTATTGATTTTTTACAGAGAGGAAGGGAGAGAGATAGAGAGTTAGAAACATTGATGAGAGAGAAACATCAATCAGCTGCCTCCTGCACACCCCCTACTGGGGATGTGCCCGCAACCAAGGTACATGCGCTTGACCGGGATCGAACCTGGGACCCTTCAGTCCACAGGCCGATGCTCTATCCACTGAGCCAAACCGGTTACGGCGGGATAAAACGTTTTAAATGTTAACAATAGGTAAATCTGGGTAAAGGGTATAGAGGTGTTCTTATACTATTTTTTATTTGGAAACCTTTCTGAAAGTTTGATAAGTTTTAAAAACATTGTCTTCTTGTCAAATCAACACTAAATAAGACATATTTTCACTATAGTAATAGTAGTGAAACATAAAGTCTTAGGAATATCCCATACTTCAACTAAGACTCTAAGATGTGATTGACAACTGAATGTCAAGGCTAGCTAGCATGCTCATCAATACACATGTGACAAGGGTGAAAGTATGGAGACCAGAGCTCACTTTGTGGCAGAAACCTAAAAGAAGCTAACAGGGCTGCACAAAGTTGGCTCCCAAGTATCCTCAGCACTGCTGCTGTTACATAGCAGGACTCCCACTAGCCCCCCTCCACAAGCCCAGGAACCAATGGGGTTCCTCAGTCCTTACAGAGTCCTGCTCTTGTTTTATTTGGTACGTGTCTGAGTGGGGCAGGGTACGTCTGATCTTTGTAACCATACCATCAAACACCATTCCTGGAACATAAAAGTACTAAATATTTAACCACGAGAAGTCATACTCCTATTTTCTCAAGGATGAAGTTATAATGGCTGCACTTCCTTGACCACAAAATAGAGTTCTTCTATCTCATTCTGAGGGGAATCCGAGATCAAGGTAAACAAATTATTTGTAGGAAGCTGAAAGCCAGCTGAATAAAGCATTAAAACTTTGAAAACTGAAGTCGAACAGAATAAAGACCTTGGCTATAAACATAAATTTAAACTACAGAGAAATGGAGAAACCCGTATGAAATGTCTGAGAAATTAGATATTCAACTACTTTGTACTAAAAGCACCAATGAAAGAGTGCAGCGGGAATGTGCCCTCAGACAACACAGTCACTGTTTCTCTACTTATCTCTTAAGGAACCTGAGACTCTTCGAAGAACCAATGGGAGGTTTTACTGGACAGTGGTAATATAAGCATATGCTCCTGCAGAATGAGGAGGATAAAGAACATACAAGGAGGGCAAATGCTCTGAACACTACCTGCTCCTTTCAAATATTCGTATTAACCTTCAGCACTGGTCATATAAAAGAGCTGGCCAGCCCTGGCTGGTTTGGCTCAGTGGATGAAGCGTCGGCCTGTGGACCGGGGGGTCCCGGGTTTGATTCCGGTCAAGGGCATGTACCTTGGTTGTGGGCACATCCCCAGTGGGAGGTGTGCAGGGGGCAGCTGATCGATGTTTCTCTCTCATCGAAGTCTCTGACTCTCTATCCCTCTCCCTTCCTCTCTGTAAAAAACCAATAAAATATATTTTTTTTAAAAAAGAGCTGGCCAACACCAATCATTAAAATTTAAGCTGTTATTATAAAATTGGACAAATTGGCACACATTTAAACATTCTGTAATTCAGAATATGTTTTCTGTTTAAGAAAAGCCAAAGCAAGATAAATTTGTGTTAAAGGAATTTTGACTCTTCATGATATTTCCTGACTAAGGCCAGAACTTTCAATGCAAGTCTTAGTATAAACCTCTACTGCAGTGAGGTTTGTGTATAAAATAATAAACAGCCCCAGCCGGTTTGCCTGTAGATGCTGGTCAAGGGCTCATGCCTGAGTTGCTGGCTCGATCCCCAGAAGGAGGTGTGCAGGGGGCAGCCAATCAATGATTCTCTCTCATCATTGATGTTTCTATCTCTCTCTCCCTCTCCCTTCCTCTCTGAAATCAATAAATATGTATTTAAATAATAATAATAATGATAATCAACAGAAAGTTTCTGGATTTTAGAGACACTTTTCTCTAAACTGAGTCACCTAGGTTGAAGTTACTGAAGTGGGATGAATAGAGGTCAACAACTAATCTAATACTCACAGCTTCCCATCCACTTTTTCTTCTCAGTCCCTGCTGGAGGGGCCTGGCTTTCCATCCTTACTGGGGCTCTGTGAAGTCAATTTGGGCCCAGAAACGGGGTCTGCCTCTGCTGGCGCACAGACCTGAGAAGAGGTGTACCACTGTCAGGTCTGTGAGTGGCTGCTGGCACAGAAACTGTCTTTCGGCACTCATCATGTTACAACGGGGACACAGATCAGTGACAAAAGCACCTAATTCCCTTCCTCTGTTCTTAATTGAGCATATTTCTAAACTGTGCATAGCTGTGTATGAATGAGGGTTCCATACAGCTGCTTTAATGTAAAACTATTATATACATCTATCTATACAAATTATACTCTAGCCCTTCGGTTTCCATTCTCTAATACCTAAAATTCATCAACAAATAGGCAATCCTATCAAACTAGAAAGGCAGTTTTAAATTTGTGTCTAGACCAGGGGTGGGCAAACTTTTTGACTCAAGGGCCACAATGGGTTCTTAAACTGGACTGGAGGGCCGGAACAAAAGCATGGATGGAGTGTTTGTGTGAACTAATATAAATTCAAAGTAAACATCATTACATAAAAGGGTACGGTCTTTTTTTTTTTTAGTTTTATTCATTTTAAACGGGCCGGATCCCGGCCCGCGGGCCGTAGTTTGCCCACGGCTGGTCTAGACAATATTGAGAGCACGTCTCCCTTCAGAGGTAGAACAGAAAATTTACCTGCCATTGCTTCAAATGTGTAGGGTTTAAATTCTGCAACCAAATATGTGGAAAATAATTGATAACAAAAAGTGACCAGATCCCTCTTTTTTCCTTTAATAAAGAAATACATTAAAAATCTGTGCAAATTATTAGTGTATAATTTTAAATTCTTCTCTCCAAACTAACATATATCAGAACATTACATGAGCCTAACAATCTTTTTAGGACAGACTGCCCATCACTATTATCCGAATTGTATGCATCAAAAATATGCTCAAATAAAATTCTTGTAATTTTTTTTTTTTACCTTCCACAGTTCAACGGCCACAGGCTGATGTGGTGGATTGTCACTGTATATGTCATCCACAGTTTTCTTCCAAAACTGCATTCGCATCAGTCCAATTGTTTTCTCAGAAACTGAATCCTTAATCTATAAATAGGGTTTTAAAACTTTAATAAATGCACTGTTGACAGTCTAAAAAATCAATATTTATGACTGCATAATCACATAATTCAGTCAAAAACTATATACATTTGTTTTAATTTTTCCTTAAAGTTAAACTGTTGTCATTATGAGTTTTCTAAGTAAAAGCTACAAATTACTTGGTGCTTATTCAAAAATATTTTAGAAAATGGGAGAGATTCTAGAAAACAACTGCAAGAAAAAACAAAGAGGAGGAGGAGTTTAGTTTAAAAGAAATTTAAGAACTAGATCAACCAGTCTTTACATGTAAACCTTATTGAATCCTGATTTGAAGAGAGAGAGAAATTGGAAAATCTGAACACCAGATGTTTAATGACATTAAGAAGTTACTATTAAGGTTTTAATGTATGATGATGGCATTATGGTTATTTCTAAGTGAGTTATCTTTTAGAGATACATACTGAAATGTTGACAGATAGAAAAGTTTATCTGAAACGTACTTCAAAATAACCTGGAAGCAGAAGGATCTCAAAATAGTATGGGTGAGGGGTGAGGTTGACTATAAAGGGAATTTTTTGGTTGCTGGAATTGTTTTCTCATGACTATGGTGGTGAGTACATGACTATGCATTTTTCAAAACCTATAGAACTGTACACCACAAAAAGTATTACTGTATGGACATTTTAAATAAACTCATTCATTCACTAAGTAATTATTTTACAGTCTCCTTCACTCACTACTAATTAAGAATGACCTTGTGAGATTCAGGCAAGAAGCACCAATGCATGCTAAATCTAGGGGATAAATATTTAAAAACTGAGTTTAATTGATATGTAACAGTACATTAGTTTCATGTATACAACGTGATTTGATATATGTATATATTGTGAAGTAATCACCACAATAAGTATAGTTAACATCCATCAGTACACAGTTATAAACCTTCTTTTTCTATTAGAACGTTTAAGATCTACTCTTAGTAACTTTCAACATACAATACAGTATTACTAGCTATAGTCATCATGCTGTACATTACATCCCCAGGACTTACTCATTTATAACAAAGCTTGTACCTTTTGACCACCCATTTCACCCATATCCCAGCTCTGTCGCTGGCAACCATCAACCTGGTCTCTGTATCTATGAGTTTGGGGGCTTTGTTTTCTTTTGTCCTGCTTTAGATTCCATATATGAGACCATACGGTATTTGACTTTCTTTGTCTGACTTATTTCACTTATATTTCTTTATTGTTCAGCATTAAACACGTTATATCACCATTTTTGCAAATAATTTTAAAGGAATTTTAATACCAGCCTGAGCCAGTTCCACATTGAAGGCTCTCAGTGCAAAAGCAGAGCTTCTGGATTCTGTAGGAAGCAGCAGGGAGCATAAATAGCCTTCATAATCTCGTTTCCTGTAACAGATAGGCAAAAAAAAAAAAAAAAAAAAAAAAAAAAGACAGTTACTTTTGACTTCCAAACTGCACACAAAAAAATACTAACCAGAATTACCTGAAAATAATGAGGCTTCAATTCAAAAAAGGCCTGAAATTTCTTATATTCTATACCTGTTTCTCTACAGTTATTAAAAATGTACCTGCCCACAATCCCAGACAGTTAAAAATAAGAAATAATTAATCTCCATTAATTTATTTTGACTCATATAGTACTTATAATTTTAGTGGTTTCAGAATCACTTTGTAAGAATTCAAATGAGCTACCAAAGTAGTTCCAGCAAGTCCTGGTATGAACTGGCAGTTTTTAATACATAGATAAATACACAGATAAGACATAAAGACAGAAAACAATAGAGGGGTGTGGGGGTGCTCGCAGGTATGCACACCCACTAGCACATACTGTACTTGTTTCCTAGCAATATCTGCTGAGCGAGCCTAGAAGCAATGCTACTCCTCCCACCTTGGCCACAGTATCAGCGAACACACCCGACACCTAGATCTTGGTTTCTAAATACCTTTCTCCACTGAAAAAACAAACAAACAAACGCTAAGAATCCTTGGAGGAAAGACTGACTCCAGGACTGGGGTGGGGAAAATACAAGATAAGCCTGAAACACCTTCTTGAGCAGAAAGAAATGTTCAAAGAATGAAGGGTTCAAAGAATGAAGGGGTTTGTCAAAAGGACAAAGAAATGGACATGATCAAGTTCCCTTTGGCCACATCTGGGACAATTTGAACATCAAGAAATAATGACAGTTAACAGACTGTAACAGGACCCCATGAGCCTGTATCATAAATGAAAGAATAAATACCCCTGGCTGGTGTGGCTCAGCGGTTACGAGCATCAGCCTAGGCACAGGAGGGTTGTGGGCTCAATTCCAGGTAAAGGGCATGTACTACCTGGGTTGCAGGTTGGATCCCTGGTCCCAGTCAGGGCACGTGCAGGAGGCAACCAATAGATGTGTCTCTCTCACATCGATGTTTCTCTCTCTCTCTCCTCCCCTCCCTCCTTCCCTCCCTTCCACTCTTTCAAGAAATCAATGGAAAAAATATCCTTAGGTGAGGTTTAACAACAACAAAAAAGAATAAATAGGAAGGGAAGAAAACACTTAATAACCAGTACAACATCAACTGATAAACCTAGAAAACATGTTATTTTTTAATCTTCATTTGATAACTATCAAATAACTGATTCAAGCAAAAAAATCAATAAGTGTCTAGAAATGTTAAATAGATGAAAGCTGGATAGAAATGGGATACTTATATAGTACTGAACTCCTCACTTACTAATCAGCATTCTTTTTTAAAATATATTTTATTGATTTTTTTACAGAGAGGAAGGGGGAGGGATAGAGAGTTAGAAACTTCGATCAGCTGCCTCCTGCACGCCCCCTACTGGGGATGTGCCCACAACCAAGGTACATGCGCTTGAACTGAATGGAACCTGGGACCCTTCAGTCCGCAGGCCGACGCTCTATCCATTGAGCCAAACCGGTTAGGGCCTAATTAGCATTCTTATTCATTAAACTTATAGGGGAGAAACTTGAAAGACACCTTCTCAACCAAGGAATAAAAAGTTCACATCCCAGGACTAAGATAAATCAATGTCGTGTGCTTCTTGACAGGATGCTAAGAAAGCACAGCAGGACTTGTCCAACACACCGGCCAGAAATGCATAAATCAGGAGGAAGCATTAAGTAAACCCAAATTGAGGGGTTCTATGAAGTAGCCGGCCTATTCGCTTTTAAAAACGCCAAGCTCAGAGAGAAAGCGGGGGAGCGGGTGGGGTGAGAGGTCACCCAACAGCCTCGTGTGTGTGCGAATCACCATGACCCACGGACACCGGGCGGTGGGGGCTTGTCCTGGGGGCGGGAGGGCCGGGGGAGGGTGTCAATGGGGGGGGGGGGGAGAAGGAGACACATGTCATACTTTAAACAATGAAAAACAAAAATAAAATTGACATGAACCTAAAAACAAAAACAAAGGTCAAGCTCATGAAAGACAAAGACTGAGAACCGGTTCCAGGTTGGAGAAAACGAAAGAGATGTAACAACGAAAGGTAGCACGTGATCCCAAATGTAACGAAGGACATAATAAGAATCACCAGCAAAATCCACACCGATTCTATGGGTTAGAATCAGTGGTTCTCAACCTTCTGGCCCTTTAAATACAGTTCCTCATGTTGTGACCCAACCATAAAATCATTTTCGTTGCTACTTCATAACTGTAATGTTGCTACTGTGATGAATCGTCATGTAAATATCTGATATGCAGGATGGTCTTAGGCGACCCCTGTGAAAGGGTCGTTCCACCGCCAAAGGGGTCGCGACCCACAGGTTGAGAACCGCTGGATGAACGGTCACATCGGGTCCATTTCAATGTCCTAACACCGTGACCACATGGGAGCGAACTCTGTGCCCCTAAAAGTTCCCGGTGTCTCACGCCCCACGCCCCCTCCGCTGGGGGCCACCGGGGCCCCGGGAGACGGAAAAGAAGGGGAACCAACCCGTTCGCCCCCTGCGGCCCGCTGGCAGACACCCGCAGACAGGTGTGCGTCATAGGTGTGCACCATTCACCCCCTGGTTAGTGCTGCTCATATTGACGCGAATGTTTCTTCAGTGAGGTCACAGAGCTTCTAAAAGCTGGTAGATGTGCTTGAGCTACCGTTAGGAC